TCGTAATCTTGTTCTTTCTGTTGTAGGTAGTACGAGTCTACATAGTAAGTCTGAACTGACCGAATCAAGCAAATATTCGCTTCATTGTTTTTGGAGATATATTGTTCTTCTCTGGGGTAAAGTATTTGTTTAAGTTTTCAGATTCATTAATTAAATGTTTTTAAAATCGGTCGATTATAGAACTATTTTCGAATTAAATTTAATAAAAATCAAAAAAATCGGAATCGAAATAATATAATGTAGCTGCCATGGAAAGAATCGGAAGGTAGTTGAAGGGGAAATAATTCGAAACCATACAAGTAAAACAAACATAAAAAAACCAATCGAAAAAATGGCATTCAATAAAAAGCAACCAGAAAAACTGGGCGTATCCGGTACCCGCAATATCTGTCAAATATCATGTGCCCAGAAAAAAAGGCAAGAAATGTCATATAATAAATAAATTTATGTAGGACCATAAAAATAAAATTCAATAAAAATTTCCTTTCCTCTGTTCCGCTTCCAAAAACCCCAACTCAAGGAATTTGACTTGTGAACAATAAGGATGTAAAAATCAAAACCAAAATATGTTTAATAGATTTACATGGCTTGTAAGAGGTAAAATACCCGCACTTTCAAATAAAGGTCAAGTTCAGTGATAATCAATGGTATTAATTAGTTTAGATTTGTTCCCGAAATTTAGGGAGGAAATAAATAAATGTTTCTTTTTATTTTGCCCGCATTTGCCATGAATCGGGCGCGAATTTGGATATTTTTGAACTATTATAATAGTGTTCCACTCTCGGTTAGATTTAAGAGGGCAAATGACATATTGCCTAAGTGACCCTAGAATTCTTAAATACCCCTACCAAGAAATCGCATTGTTAATTTGCATGACCCTGCCTAATGATGTTTGCTGGAAACTCGTTGTCGATGAGGGTTGCATAAGCCAGCAATACATTTAATTATCGTTAATCTTCTATAATTTGCTCTGAGAAAATAGTCAGTTGGTTTGTTATGAATGATTTCCAATGATTATTTATGCTATCCAACCCTCAGCACAAATCCACATGTTGTTTGTCAACTTATTATCAATATGATACGAGGCTAGACCTGCAAAAGTATGTTTTAAAACGAGGATCGAAAATAATCGTTATCAGGAGGGGGAAACGCTTCTTTCTTCCTGTTACCTACTTTCCAACGAATTTGGTATTCCCTTCTACTCTACGAGTAAATGTATTTTGGACCGCTCAATTATTTCATTTCGCGTTCAAACTATTTAGTTAAACAGTACAAAATATTCCAACATGAGATTTTACAGTTCATATCAAAGGATTGATTTACTCGAGCCCACGAAATAAAATGAGCCCAAAAAGGACGGTTTGCCAAGGGAAATTTAGACATATGACAACAAAATAAAATCAATTCAATTAATTTCCAGGCTCCGAGCAGATCGTAGATAAGCCAGCTAGCATTACAATGAATAATCAGCTTTAAATGGTATTATTTGCCCTAGGTTAGGGTGGGGTTTTCGATTAAAACACACTACACGGCAGTCGATAAGCTATACGTATTTACATACACCCCAACCATTCAGATCCGATCCAGACATACATCAAAGAGAGGAAACAAACCGGGCAGACTTGACATTTTGCACTTGGTCAAGCAGAGAGCTATGCGGAATCGGGGAAATTGTGGCATGCAGCGAGGCGGTCGACATCTGAAGGGGTTTGCGACTTATGGCGACATCGATAGGACAAACTGGAAAAAAACCTATACCTAAACCTCAAAATAAGTGGAGAAGGCGGGGGCGAACCACTCGACAAGCTGTTGGCACACATAAAATGTGCTGAGAGCCCAAAGACACTCAAAAGTATGCTACAGTTGCCGGCAAATGTCTTCACACACAAACATACAAGCGCTCTTTAGGAGTCGTTCCCATATTTCCATTCTGAAGTCCGATCCAAAATCCACGGCCCCCGTCCTCAAAAGTTCCCTGTCATTTATCTTAACCATTTTTTCTGTACCCGGGGTCTAATGGGAAATGTCGAGCAACCCAAAGTTGGCTGCTTTGCTTTTTATCTTTCACAATTAGAAACGTTGACCCACGGTTTTCCAGAGAGAGAACCAATTATGGTTCATCAAAATCAAAATAAGCTTCGAATTTTTAGTTGACAAAGGGAAGATAAATATTTTGAAAGTAGAAAGTGATTGGTATTTTTCAATAAAGTACAACTTACTAAAATTCCTGAAGAAAAAAATCTAAAGATAAGATTATGGCTTAAAGACCTGAAATGATGGAATAAGAATGAAATAGGCACAGTTTTTTTACTGTGTTTTTAGATAAATATGCTTATTTTTTCTGCGAGTTTCTCTTCCTGATTTGTTTGTCCCTTGGCCAGATAAATGAATTTTTGGATGCTTCTCCCCTCGGCGCTAGCATGTGATTAAGGAAGGAAATTGTTTTGGACAACGCACAAAACAAATAACGCTCTTGGGGTTGTCCTGGCGTTGTAGGAGGATGTTTTTTGGTTCTTATCGCCTAAGTAGAATCATTTAACTGCTGTCTGTGGTGCGCTATTTTTATTTTTTTGTATCATTTGTTTTCCTTTTTTTTTGGGTCACAATACCGGCATTGTAATTTGTCTCAATGCATTTTTAGAAATATTAGCTTGAACCAGGGACCGTAATGATAACCAGTTTTATCTTAGCGTTCATCCAGACGGACAGATGGACATGGCTAGATCGACTCGGCTAGTGATCCTGATCAAAAATATATATACTTTGTGGGGTCGGACATTTGCCTGTTACATACTTTCCGACGAATCTAGTATACCCTTTTACTCTACGAGTATAACGGGTATAAATACTTATATTTATAGCAATAGTCAAAATAAATAAAAAAATGTTTGACTGAGATGTTTTAAATTTGGCAAGGGCACAAAATATTGTTTTCTTATTTTTTGGTTTCTAATCATGTGTTCTTATAAATAAGCTTACATAAATTATATCTGTTGACATAAAACTACTAATTGCCATTGGATTTGTGGTCTTCTTGGCATTCCGATAAAAATATGTCCTAAAAATTATATGTACAACCTTTTCTCTCGATATGGGGTGGATGAAGCTGTGAGGAAAGCAGACCCAAACCTAGATAATTACATAATCAGGAACGTTAAAAAACGGTCATTGTCAGTCAACCAGGGCAACGGGTGAAGTGACATTTTGCGGTTAAGCAATTTTGTCCTTTTCGGCGAGGGAGTTGACTGCGCCTGGCAACGAACGCATAATTTATAATTGTCAAGGGAGTGTCCACCGAAAGAGCTCGGGGATGGGTCATGCCAGTGCTGATTTATGGAATTTAATAAATTTCAACAGATTTTAATCGCTTGTAATTATACGAGAAGAAGCACTGCAACAACAACAAAGAGCAAAAAAAGATATTGTACAAAGTTCAATTAAAATTAAGAACGAAATCAGCGACAGGTGAAGTCCAGGACCAGTTGGCGCAGGACTCTCTTATTTGATTGGTTTTTCCAGCATTCAATTCAATGTGTGTGTTTCAGTCTGCGCATTTCCAATTCAATTTCCCAGCCAAACATTTCCTTTTATTTTTATTTCATTATGCCGTTCATGTACGTATACACAGTTGTGGTAAAAGTATTAAATAATTATATGATACTTAAACAAATATTGAAAACTCTTGATCTGTGGAGTAGTCCCTAGAAACATAAACTAATTAATTTTATAATTAGCTACATATAAATATTTATTTCCACTTACCTGATACTGATTATTTAGCTTTGTTTGTTGTTTTGTTCTTTTATAACGGAACAGAGTCTTAACTTACAAAATGCTCCATTATTTTTATGGAACTATTTCTTTGACAGCAACTGTAAGCACATATTTTTCCTGGACTCTGAGGTCGCTTCTCGGTATTTGTTATTGTATAGTATTATAGAGCCTCTCATATCCTTACCAGTGGCAGTCGCAGATTGATTTTCCTCTTCACTCCGCCCGTCTGCGATCTGAATTTTTTGTATTTCCTTGGAGACAAACTGGCCCACCCACACGACTCGAGTTTTTATCCAACTTCAAAGGACTTTCGGCCGCTTCTGAGCCTCAAGTGTCCTTGCAGTTTGTCCTGCGACGGCTTATGCGACATTTTTTTCATTTATGTAGCGTTTCTCGGGCTTCGGTTCTCTGATTTCATTTTTTGTTTTCTTCTCCAAAAGAGGATGAGTGGGCCTCAAATTGATGGCCCAAAAACGGTGAAGAATAAGCCCTCAAGAGGTGTGGCAGAGTCGGCACTTTTGCGGCTGCCATACATTTATATTACATTTTGTTGGGGAGGCTGCCAAATTGGTAGTACGATTGGGTGGAATATTTCTTATAGAGAATAAAACTAGAAAAAACGCTAAGTCGATGCCATTGACTATCAAATACCCATTTTTCAGCTAAGGCGGTGCGAGTGAGATGAAGATATTCAAAGCAACTGTTTCCAAGATTGCACACTTTACTTTCTTATAACTTTTTAATAAACAATCCGAGTTGAATAATGCATGTAGGTGGCTATTGATATTAAGAACAAAGATTGTTTAAAATTTTTACAAAATGTTTGAAATGTGGGCGCTAGACAGGTTAGAGCGTGGCACCCAGCTGAAATAAACTTGCGCTGCGCAAGAAGCTCAAGAATCTGCATGCCAAACTGTCTAGCTTTTATAGTTTCCGAGATCGCAGAGTTCTTACGGACGGGCAGACAGACGGACGGACGGATATGGTTATATCGACTCGGCTAGTTATCCTCATCAAGAATATATATACTTTATAAGGTCGGAAACGCTTCCTTCAACCTGTTACATACTTTCCGACGGATTTAGTATACCCTTTCAATACAGTAAACTAAACGCTGTAGTATTGGGTATTGTAATTTTGAATTTATAAAATTTAGAAATACCTTTTGGTATTTATTTATTTTCAGTCATCCCGGTTGTTTCGAAATTGTTATCAAACAGTTGTGTATTGTTCGTAGCGTTGAAAGACAAAAGCAATACAAGTTGCTAGGATTATCCAGTAAAATATAACTATGGCGGACGAAAGTGGCATAACTACGAGTGTGACCAGATTTGTGGGATGCACACTTCTAATCCTGGCGATCTGCCTGCTGGTTGCCACTCCGCAATGGATGGTGATGTGCCTCTTTGCGAAGGATGCCATGGCATACACGCTAACCTGTTTCTTTCTGTCCTTCGTGGTCCTCGCTTTTATCCATATGATTGAAACGCTTAAATACTCAAGGCCCTGGAACTACATCGCGATCGCCGTTTGCTACGAGCTGCTGACACTTGGTGGTGCCAGTTTTCTAATGGAATGGAATCTAATTTGTACCATTATTGTCTTGGCCACGGGCCTTCTACTTCTTGTGATCGTGCTGCTCGCCAGTGGCCTTTTAATCTGGAGCGGATTCTATGCGAACCCCTTCAAAATGGCCGTTGTTGGTGTGATGGGCTTCGTGCTGGCATTTTGCATTGAAGTGATGGATGTTCTCATGCACTGGTTCTTTTGGCAGGATGTGGCTATTGGCGTTTTCATAGCCAGTGTAATTGTTATAACCATCTCCCACGTGCTGATCACCTACAACAATTTCGAATTACTGGTCAGAGATGACGCTCTGCTCGTCGCAATCGTTCTGTACATAGCCTATTTACTCTTCTTGGTCGGCGGTCGTATTTCCGTCTTCTACGTCACTGAAAATGCCTATCATTTTGCCACGACGACCACCGAAAGCATAGAAGAAGATTATTCAGATTGATAGGTAACTTTCATACTGATTATTACCTTATAGACAAAAGAAAAGAAATAAATTCGTAGTTAGCTATCTCCTTAGAGTTAGCTATCTCCCCTTTTTGTAGGGTTTGGATAAATTATGAAATTACTATCAGCGACCGAAAATAAGCATTTTTTGTAATTTTTCTTTAAGAAGACTACAGTGATTCATACTTTTACATGTTAAAAATGCCACTATTTTTCCTCTAGGGGTGTATAACTTATCCAATTTGAAGAGATTCCAACATTTTCTTTACTCTTTTCGGCAATGTTTCTAAAAATCAGACAAATTGAAAAAAGAAATACCAAAATCTTAGTAGGTAATTTAATATAAGAGTCACAAATAATGATTATATACGGTCACTGATTATTTTTTTTTTGAGTTTTAAATTCCAGAAAGTAGCGAATATATTATATTAATAAAGTATCAACTTTTATATAAGGTAGATGTACGTTACATCGTAAGTGTGATTCATTATCGGATTAGTGACTGAGGAGCAGCCTCAATCACGTTCCTCTTTCATTGTGCATACGTGACTTGAGAGCCGATCTTAAATCGAAATATGTACATCTGAGATATCTATAGATTTGTTTGCGTTCAAAGTATTTTCCAAGGTTGTCACCATTTACCGAATACATGAATATGCTACATTGAGTATATTGTGAGCTACGCGTCGGCCAACTTTGAAAATTGAAATTTTTTCTGTTTATACCGTAAATACTCAAAAAAATCCACAATTTCAAAGTATGCCAAGTTGTAGCTCATAGCATACTCAATGTAGCCTATTTATTTATTCGGTAAAAATTAAAAAATAGTTAAAAAATAAAACATATCACACAAAAACACCTCTTAACGATCTACTTAATAAATACACTTCCTAAGTTGTTCTCATTCGGGACGCCGCGATACAATATGCCTTTGTAGGCAATTGTCTTTACGATTTTGATGAAGCGTGCCGAATGAGAAAAATTCATAATATGGCAAAGCGACAAACATACTTTTTGCTCTTCGTTACTGTTCACTGCTATATTACTAAAACAAGCGGAGTCAAGCAGGGGCAATGTAAACAAAACAAGGAAGAACGCTATAGTCGAGTACCTCGACTATCAGATACCCGTTACTCAGCTATATGGAGATATGCAAGCAGCAAAGCGAGATTAAAATGCGCCACCTACCGGCGGTATACAGACTTAAGCGTTATGGGCGTTAGAGTGGGCGTGGCAAATTTTTTTTTGGATCAATCGATAGGTATCGACGAGACCAATACATTTCAGTTAAAATTTTTTGTTTAGCATGAAAATTGTGGGCGTCACAGGTTTTCGCGGTTTGTGGGCGTTAAAGTGGGCGTGGCAAACTTTTTTTTGGGTCAATCGATAGGTATTGATGAGAACAATACATTTCAGTTAAAATTTTTATTCTAGCATCAAAACTGTAGGAGCCACAGTTTTGGGCGGTTTGTGGGCGTTAGAGTGGGCGTGGCACTGTGCCGAAACAAACTTGCGCTGCGTAAGAAGCTCAGGAATCTGCACGCCAAATCTCAATAGCCTAGCTCCCATAGTTTCCGAGATCTCAGCGTTCATCCGGACGGACAGACAGACGGACAGACGGACAGACGGACAGACGGACATGGCTAGATCGACTCGGCTAGTGATCCTGATCAAGAATATATATACTTTGTGGGGTCGGAAACGCTTCCTTCTGCCTGTTACATACTTTCCGACGAATCTAGTATACCCTTTTACTCTACGAGTAACGGGTATAATTACCTAAGGGCAAAACGAGTTATAATATAAGAGAGATACCAACTAAAACTGTTCTTTAAAAATTAAAAAACAGTATTTTAAAAAATTGTTTAGCTTATTTTTTTAAAGGTTTAGGTGTTTAACTCTACTAGGAACTACCAACGTACTTCTTGGAGCATTTTCAAAATATTTTTTAAACTAGTGTTATTGATCTCAAATTAGTTTACAATACCTCTTAGTTTAACGTTAAAATTGTGCGAAATCTTTACAGCTGGTATGCTTATTCTTTAAAATTTTGCAGCACTATAAGGAAATTATAAAATACGGCAATAAAACATCTGTCTAAAATTTACAAATGTATTGCAATATGTGTTTTTGCTAACTATTGTTTGTTTACTAAAACGATAGATAAGTAACAACAGTGGGCCATAAGTTAAACAGCCCCTTTGTCCAAAAACGTATGCAAGGTCAAGTCTTTTATCAAGAGACTGCCGCTTCTGTTGCATCAAAAGGAATTTCCCTAATAAAATTCGGTAACACACCAGAAACCGAATTCATTTCATTCAACACTGTCAAAGGCCAGATAATAAAGATATTGGTCCCTAATTACAATCCACACTGATAACCCAGAATCAATCAGAAACCACATTAAATTGTTGAACATGAAACAGATTTTCGTGAAATATAGAAAGTTATGGTCACTTCGGTCTGCCATAAATTAAACTAGAAAAGTAATTGGCAATTCGAACCGCCGAGTAAATTGCGGAGTGGGACCGGGCGTTGGAATGAACCAGAAAAGAAGGGGCGATGTAGAGGAAGAGATGCCGGCAATTGAAATTGTCGTCATTTCTGTTGTTATTGCTCGGTTTTTCTGGCTCGCAGCGGATGCAATTCCTACAAAATGATAATTTATGATAATGATGCTTCCGTTATGGGGAGCACAAAACTGGACACAGGACATTGGATTGTGTGTGCCGTGCTGCATATAAAAATCGTCACTGAGATATGGCGAAAAATTTGCCCGTTTCATTCATTTTACGGGTCGGGCCTCGCATATTTATTGATAATTTCCGTGAATTTTGCAGCAGTCAAGCAAAGCGGAAGTTATGCCATTTGCTGCATGCCCGCCTCCAAAAAGGACAATAAATAGTGCTGTCCCGGCGAAGGGCGTGCGCCCGAAGTGGGCGTGCCAGTGGGTTAGAGTGACTATGGTCGCCCAAAATCAAAGTGCCTATCGATTGCGTTGATTTGCCTTGTTTATTGTCTCAGTTAAGGCGGTGTACGTGTATCGACCCCCTCCCCCTCCCCAACCGAACCCCCACTCCACCCTTCCGATTGTTTCGACTGCCCCTGGGTATTTATGGGTTACGCTCGAGCTACAATAGCAACAACAATGAGTCCAAAGTGGGCTAGTCCATTGTCTGCGATTATCAATAAACATTAGCCAAACAATAGGATGCTCAGTGTCAGTGGTCCCCCATTTCGGTGAGCCTTCTAATGACCTTGAAAATTAGTTCCTGCATCAATCTCTCTCACCCATTTCTCACTTGCCCCGCACCCGGCATTTTTAATAATAGGTTCATAATTATTGTTTATTATTTATCGCCGATTGCATTTTAATTGTTCACAGTATGACAAAAATTCCATTTTAATTTGCAATTACAAACATATGTATGGCTGGTCGGTCAGAAGCACTGACAATATGGTCGGAATCAACTTATGGCTGATGCACGGCATCCGCTTTTGGCCAACGGCAGGAAAATCCATTAAGGCCATATAATATTCAGTGGACCAATATAATAAGGATATTAAATTTTCTCACTGGGGGGATTAAACTCCCTCGCCCTCGTGTAAAAAGTAAAAGCTAATTTCTTTGTAGATTTTATTTCAGTGTAAATTGAAATTTAATACATTAATCTCTGTGGACGGCAGTCCACGTAGTGACGAACGCACAATTGAAAATCTGCTACGATAGTCCGATCAAAGCCAGTAATACACCGATCGAAAGTTGTTGTGATTTTCTTTTATTTACGGTACTAAGCCCTTTAATAAGTCGATTGATTCAGGAAAAATTTAGATGGAAGTATAAAAGTTCAATTTTAAAGATTTAAGCTAGGGAAACCAGAGAAGCGAAATGTACCTATTATTTTATATTCTTTAAAGCTTCATACAAAATCGTAAAGCTAATTGCCTACACAGGCATATTGTATTGCGGCTTGCCGAATGAGAAAATTTTAAAAAGTGTGTTTATTTAGCAAATCGTATAATACATTTTCATCACAAAAGTTGATATCAAAACTTTTATATGTTAATCCTTCGAAAAAGACGGAAAATATGAAGAAATTTTAAAAACACCTTGCTTTCTGAAATAAATTATTTTTAATTATAATTTATTTTGTAAGTTAAATATTACATACAAATATATTTTATAAAGTTTATAAAGTTAAAGGGTTCTGCAAACCAAGAAACGTATGTCAGCACCGGAATTCCTCTTAATTCGCCGGTACCAAAAGGCCAGCATCATTTATTTCAATCATTTATCAAAATACTTAGGCCAAAAAGAGAAACTGAAAAAAATCGAATTTCAGGCTTTCAACACGACCGCCTAATGAGCCAAACTCTTGTTGTTGTTCCGAGAAACCCAATGAGTCAAAATGTATCGTGGAGGATGGCGGCCAGACAAGTTGACAGGCCCAACCTCAAAGTACGAGAGTGAGGGTGACAGGAAGGGGGCAATGCGGCCAAGTTAAGTGCGCAGATTCATTAATTTACATTAAAATGTAATTAGCGGTCAAATAAGTGGCAGGAAAAATACTCAAACCACAAAAAAGGCGAACTGCTACAAACAAAGCGAGAAAGATAAAAAAACAATTGAAATGAAATTTAAAATTATTTAATTTATTGCCTTACTTAATAAATAGTACAGCATTAGTGGCCCAAATAAAAAATAGTACTCTACTTATAATTGCGGTCTGGCATTTAGAAAAGTACATTTTAGTCTGGATTTTTGAGATCTCATTAGAGAATGTTTTAGTTTACCAAAAAGTCTGATGCATACTGCAAACAAAGCCTATTCTCTACAAATACAAAACAATTATAATTCACCAGAGCAAGAAGAGTAATTTTAAAAGTGTATATGAAAACTCCGAGTGCTCTTTTGAAACTACAATTATGGAAACCTAAACCTAAACAAAACAGTTTAATCAATCAAATCCAACAAATTATTATATTTGTCTCAGAGCTTGGTATTCGAATCGAAAAGCCATTTAATATTTTACC